ATATTTTAACATGCTATTATATTTCAGTTGAATTGTTTATATATTATTGTTTATTTTTTTATGTTTTGGTGCAATAAAGAGTTAACCCATTGCATATTTTTTTTTGTGAAATAAATCAAGGTGGTAAAATTCATGTTCAGAATTAAAGGAAAAATGGTTAAGGAAATAAATTTGACAGCTATGTTTTTTTTTTTCTACAATGTACATTAAAATGGTATCCAGACACGATCAACTTAAAGTGAACTTGTTCTTTTATATAATTTTTGGGCATGCAATGTTATGACGGAAATTTCCACCATTATGCAGAGAAGGGTTGAATAAATAAATGATTTTAAAATCAGGACGAGACCACGAAACCTAATAGAGAACTAGCAAACATCACGCTATATTTGATAAAGCTAATAATAACGTCTATTAATTACTGTGTCAATGTAGCAATTACCTAATTAAACACGCCATCTCTCCTGCGCAAAGAGAATTTAAAAATCTTCTATTTTATTGTACAGAGATTTTGTACTAGCGATGGATAATGTATAGCAATGTCTATTTATTTTAATCGCAATATTGGCTCAATAACATATACATTAGATATTGGTAAGCAGAGGGAGAGTTTGGACAAAAGTTGATTGCTTGGGTACCTCTGTCCCATTCGTGTTTCAACCGTAAAGCAGTTTTGTTTGCATGGCTGTGTTTCGGTTTGAAGGGTGGGATATGGCATGAATTTACTGGGTACGGAGGAATAACACCCGAGTCCTCAGGAATGGCAACGCATGGGGGATATCATGGGCGAAACAGTATACTCTGTTATGTCCATGGTACTTACTGACCATGTCTATAGGCGACGGTTACCACTTTCTATCAGGTGGGCCGTCAGTAATTTGCCATTCTAAGTTGTATAAAACAAGTAAACAAACAAACCAATTCACTGTTACATTTGTAATATTTATAACTTACTGTTTGAAATGGGTAACTAAACGAGGACAAATTACATGTAACTACATTATAATACAGTTAAGGATGCAATGAATTATTTAAATTGACACAATGAATGTGATGCTGTCATGCGGATGATATTTGGTATTGTGTTTATTTTTATTCGACTATTACAAAAGGATAGAGAATTTCGATTCATTTGTTTGTTTTTTTTTTATACCACTAGGGTGGCAAACTAAGGCCCACCTGGTGGTAAGCGGTTACCTTAGTCTATGAACACCTGCTATACCAAGGGTATTACAAACGCGTTGCCGACCCGGAAGAAACCTTTTCAACCCCCTTTTGAGAGCATCTCTTGGAAAACCTCGATTTCCTATCGAGGGAATCTTTTTTTTTTATACCACTGTGGTGGCAAACAAGCATACGGCCCACCTGATGGTAAGTGGTTACCGTAGCCTATGAACACCTGTAATACCTCTGGTATTACGCGCGCGTTGCCGATCCTGAAGAAACCTCTTTACCCCCCTTTTGAAGAACCCCATGCTGTAGTCTCTTGGGAAAACCTCGGCAGGTTATTCTTATTAATAATGATTTATATACTAGTTCAATAATAATAACAATAATCGGTACCTAGTGCTAAATTCATTCCCCTCGATCCTATCCTATCCAATCACCGTCATCATCTTTACCCCCGAGTTACAACAACCAATGAGGACGCTGGAAGATTATAAGAAACTTCAGAGCTGTCTTCAATTTTAACCGTCATTGTGACCTCCACAATCGACGAGCAACTACGTATAAAAAAAATATTAATAACATTGTTGTGCTGTAAATGTGGTTACCACTCTCCATTAGGTGGGCATGTTGTTTCTCTGTCTAAGTACCATAAAAAGAACTGCTAAGCGGTAGAAACACGAGTGGAACAAAGTTACGTGTCATCATCATGACGATCATTAACATATCAGCTGTTATCTGTCCACTGCTGAACGTGGGCGTCTCCCATAGACTGCCATGAACGCTCCTAAGCTACCTACATACCTGTGCACAAGATTTATACAAAGTTTTCCTATGACGTCAAATTATATGTTGTATATTTGAAAAACGCCAAAATACATAAATGCGCGCGCGCACCGCTCAACGCTCGACACTTGAATAAATATTTGCTGGTTATTTCAGTTTGACTACATGGATTAAGGATAATAAATCATAATGATGGTATTAAACAACCTGTTTTATTAACAAATACCTTTATTATAAGACTATAAGCTATACGGTAATTTATTATACGGAATAATAAAAAAAAAAAACGATACGCTCAGATGACGATTGTAGTCAGATATATTTCTATTTTGCGGGTATGATGAAATCGATATAAATTCTTTATTTTAATTAATTACATGCAACTAACTTTTATCCCTAACTTCGTCCGCATGATCGGGATATGTTTACTGATGATTATGAAATATAAAGTAGCCTATAATCTTCTCCATTTCATATACATTGTACGTGTATACTAAATTTCATAGTTATTGGTTAAGCCGTTAAAATGCTATAAGGTAACAAACAAACTGATTTTCATATTTATAGTTTTAGTAAGGATTGTCTGGTTATCAAGATAAGTGTTTATATATTAAGAGAAACCGTACAACGTCTAGCGCAATTTGAAATACCGTGACCTGGGTCAGCCTAAGCAAATATACTAATGTGTAATAAATTTTTATGCAACTTAGAATGGCAAACAAGCTAACAATCCGCCCGATGGAAAGCGGTAACCGTTGCCTATAGACTATAAACATGAGCAGTACCATGGACATAACAGAGTATACTGTTTCGCCCATAATACCCTCCATGCGTTGTCATTCCTGAGGACTCAGGTGTTATTGCTCTGTACTCTGTAAATTCACTGCCATATCCCATCTTTCAACACGAAACACAGCCATGCAAACATGACTGCTTCACAGTAGAAACACGAATGGGACAGATGTGTCCAAGCAAATGACTTCTGTACAAAGTCCCTCTGGCAAAAAAACGTTAACGTCAACATCAGAGGGCGAAGCCAAATTATATCCCAAACGTAAATAAATATTGTACATAAGTAGTCTTAACCAGCGCCTAGTAAAATCAAATAGCAAATGTGAAAATCAGTAACTTTGATCGAACAGATTACTGATCACAAATAGTGGATATAATACAGCATTTCAAGCAATAATATTCTATTAGAATATTGCCACTTAATTACTAAAACAATAAATAGAAGAAAATGCATTATATTGTGTTCTCTTGGTTTTTATGTATAGTTAAAAGAGCGCGGCCGTTGTAACCTTGTTTAATTTGACAGGCGCACGACGTAAATTGAATAAGTTTAATTGGAAAAAATTTATATAAAAATGTTGTTTGAATATAGTTTATTCCTCGCAATACAAATCATCATGATCATCATACCAATCGTTAACTGTTCGCTGCCGAATGTAGGCGTTCCCCATAGAGGAGGTTTTGCCAGTAGTTGCCACGCTTGGTAGACAGGTTGGCAACCATAGTCAGGCTACTAGTATAGTATTATATTATCTGTAGTCAGGCTATTGGTGATGTTTTAAAAGGGACGCTGCTGTTCATCTCTCGTCTATAAGTTCCCTTGGTCGCTTTTTACAATACCCACGGGTAATCCTAATTAGTTCCCACTATGCCGAGACTACACCGCTATATAAATGTATCAGATATATTTTAAAATATATTAAATATATATTATTTTTAAGTTTTCGCAAAATCAATAGTTATGCCTAAAAGACTTTGTTGATTTTATAGGTAAAAATATACATATGTTTCCACCTTTTTTCATACTCATTATGTGATGAAAGGCGACCAAGAGTGGAGAACAACAGGTCAGGCAATACGAGTATGTTCAGCGGCTACAACAATGAGGTCGCCAACATAAACTGATTTAAAATCGATAAATTATCTTGTAATATTTCAAGCAAAAATTCATAAAAAAAAAATACAATTGCAATGAGAACCTTCTCTTCAAAGTTGGTCAAAAATTTTATACCAAGTTACCTGGCCAATATATATTTTTATAACACTTCAAATGATATACAAACTGATGGCCCTACTGAGGGCAAACCGTAGCCTGTACACATCTACAACACCATAGAAATCGTCATGGTGCCTATATACTTCTCATGTGTTGCTTTCCTGATTCCTGAGGATTATGATGTTATGACTGGTTAACGTGTAACTTCATTGCTATATCCAGCTCTTGGAACTAAAACAGCCATGTAAGCACGGCTACTTCTTGATAGAAACACGGATGGGACAGAAGTACCTAAGCAGACGACTTTTGTACAAACTCCGGTAAATATTATTATATATATTTATTAGTAGGAAAAAGTAGTGTATATTAAAGCAAATAGCCGTGTGGTCCCGGCATAGAATAGGCCATCCCTTACTATCCCGTGGGTGTCGTAAGAGGCGACTAAAGGAGGGCAAGGGATGAGGAGCAGCGTTCCGCTTGAAACATCTTTAATCCTAACTGCGGTTGCCAATCCGCCTGCCAAGCGTGGCCACTATTGGGAAAACCCACCAAGAGGAAGATTTATCTTCATGATGATGATGAAATATTATATTATGAATTGTAACAGCTTTAATCCGAAGATACAAAGAGACACCGTTAAATCTATAAACCTATCCTTGACTTGGAAACTCGACAAAATTAAAAACCCTACCTACTACCTTATCAGCACATACGCCCACTATCACATATCAATGACGAGTCATCACAGATAACAACTGATACCGTGAATCATTCTCGCCAAATGACGCGTGCATTCTATTGTGAAAACGGGCAATAAAAATAATAGAAAATTTGAAAAGTGATAATCATCAAAATAATTGTGAAAAAAATCAATCTTTTAATCGATTAATCAATCAAATCATTGTTTTGTAAGTTACAGTGAAATTTATAGTACAGTGTGTTTAACTAAGTGCGTAATGCTTGTGGTATTATGTTATTTTTAGGTATAGTTTTACAGTCTCTAAGTGTAGGATGAGAGCTGACCGTTGTATTTAGGTTCTTAGGCTAAGGTTTCATTTTAGTTAATACAATAATTGATTAACTATGTTAATAGATAATGTAGGTACCTATATACAAGTAAAAAACGATGTTATAAAAGTGCACATTGACTGCTCATATTGGTCGTGATATCACATACCTACCTAATTACGTATCAGAAATTGTACCTATATATTTTTACAGAGAATGGTTTATGAGGTGTATTTTACAGTTGTAAGTGTATTTTATGTTTTTTTTTTTATACAACTTAGAATGGCAAACAAGCTGATGGCCCACCTGATGGAAAGTGGTAACCGTCGCCTATAGACATGAGCAGTAGCATGGACATAACAGAGTATACTGTTTCGCCCACGATACCCCCCATGCGTTGCCATTCCTGAGGACTCAGATGTTATTCCTCTGTACCCTGTAAATTCACGCCAAATCCCACCCTTCAAATCGAAACACAGCCATGCAAACACAACTGCTTCACGGTAGAAACAAGGTTATGTGTATTGTGTAAAATAGTATTGTAAAAAAAAGCAATTTCGAGTGGATGCAGGTGGCTCAGGATCCTTCCCTATAGCAGTCTAAGGTAAGGAGGCCTATGTCCAGCAGTGGACGGATAATGGCGGAAATGATGACGATGTAATGTATTTTAGATTCACTTTTTTTTTTTTGTATTTTATAACTAGCTTTTACCCGTAACTTCGTTCGCGTGACCAGGATATGTTAATTGTCTATAACAGTGATTCAGATATTCAACCACTGTGCCGCGGCACTTTTGTGTGCCGCCAAATTTTAAAAGTGTGCCGCCAAATTTTGCAAATATTCAAAATTTTTGTCATAAACTATTTATGCGGTGTGTTGTAGTGAGTAAATAGTTTTTATCTTTTCCTTTGTGCGCCGCCAAATATTGAAATCGTTAAATATGTGCCGCAACAAAAAAAGGTTGAGAACCACTGGTCTATAATATATAACTTTTAGCGATTGATTAAAACATTAAGGTGCTATGAAGTGACAAATAAACAAACTGTATGTTGGTAAGGATAATTATTAAATATATATTGATTAAGAAAACGTGTATATCATACTTGAATATAGGTGATCAAGTGCTAATTGAAAATCAGCGTTTCTTCTTCTGCAGGAACTTTAAACTAAATCGACATCCTAATTCATTACCATAACAGAATAAATGTAGTCTAAATTTTTTCTATATTTTTTTTATGTTCTTATTATTTGCAATTAAGTATATGTAAGTGTTGTTGACGAACTTATGAACATTATAATAGAAGGTAAGATAGAAGGAAGGAGGGGGAGAGGGAGACCGAGACATAGTTACATCAGGCAGATCAAGGAACGAGTTGGTGTCGTGTCGTATCAAGAGGTGAAGAGACTCGCTGAAAATCGTAGTGAGTGGCAAGAGCTCCACCGACAAGAGCTCAGCTCTTAAATGCAATAGATAGATAGAAATGTTGTGAATTATTGAAATTAATTTTTATTCATTCATTCAAATATATACATGTCGTTATCAGTATATCAGCCTTTAACTGTCCAATGCTGAACATAAGCCATCCCCTTGGTGGGGTTTGTCAGTAGTGACCACGTTTGGCACGCGGATTGGCAGCCGCAGTTACATTTAAGAGATATTTGAAAAGGGACGTTGCTGCCCTTCCCTCGCCTCTAACGAGACCCACGGGAGAGGACGGGGTGGCCTATCCTATGCCAGGATCATACGGCCATATATTCTTTATTGTACACAAACATAATGTTAAGAAGAATTAATTTTAAACATAATATACAAATGCGAGTTTATCTCTAATAAGTGATTTCTTCTAGCAAAAACAAAATATTCATACATATGTTACACCTAAAGTATACAGTTTTAATTATGACGTAGTAACTATTGTCTATATAAAATTGCAGCGGTCAGCTTTTGTACTAAAACGTGAAACGAGATGCACAATTTGCAATAATGAAATAAAATAAATTAAGTGTTGTAATATTTTATTATTTATGTACAGTTAATAAGTGTTCATGAAGCTACATATAATGTGCATCAAGTGACACGGTGCTGTCGAATAGACAAAAGACTGTCACGTGTGTGTGTGTGTTTTGCAAAAATGAGTCTAAATAAGAGAGCGTCGAAGTCGGAGTTCAAAGACGGCAAAGGCATAATCGAGAAGCCGTGTTACTTTTGCAATGAATTGTTCGAGCTGGGAAAACTTCAGGTGAATATTTGTTTGTTTTATAATTGACTAGCTTCTGCCCCCGGCTTTGTTTTCTCCTATACAAACTTTCAAGCCCTATTTCATCCAATTACAAATGAATTATTAAAAAATATATTAAATTTTGTTTTGAACTATGAGCCTAAAATATATATATATATATATACATATATATATATATATATATATATATATATATATATATATATATATATATATATATATATAGGTCATATATATGACATATGGGTCAGTCAGGCATTTACTATTTTAAATTCAAAATTTTATCTACAACATAAAACACACATATAAAAATCGAACTTAATGAAATTATATAAGTATTTATGCACTATCTGCGATCAGGCGAGCCGTACGCTTTTTTGGATCTTCTGGTTTTTTTTTGATGGGTGATAATGTAAAGGCGGGGTGCCTGCGCTAAAGGGATACGCTGGCGGAGCACCAGTGTAGGGTGATAGATGAGAATGAAAACAGGCCCGTTAGCCCATCATGATGAATTCATCAGGAATTAACCATGATAGTTTCCAGGGGGAACCGCGAGGAGGTCGACCTGGTTGGGTATATTGCTAGCAATGGGATTTTTGGTCTCCATTACTAACAATCCCTTTCCCCCCTTGAGTCTTCTGTTTGATCAATATTTTTCATGTACGGTCACCTATGTTTCGATAAAGGTATTTATACTTATCTATATTTAAAGCGAGTTATTTTGTCAATATTCTTATCACTGCTACGGTTTATCAGAGATATGTGTGAAAATATATTATATTATCAAATACTGTACGTGGATATATTTTTTTATTATTTTTAATGGGTGAAAATGAAATGGTAATCTCTCCCGCGGTATACACCGACGAAGCACCAGTAGAAGATGATAGGCGAGAATGAATGCCGGTCAGTTGGCCCACCATGATGAATTGGACAAGAATTAACCATGATGGTTTCCAGGGGGGAACCGCGTGGAGATCGACCTGAGAGGGTATATTGCTAGCAATGAGGGTATTTTACAGGGTGAATTTACAGGGTACAGAGGAATATTACTTGAATCTTTAGGAGTGGCAACGCATGGGGGGTATCATGGGCGAAACAGTATACTCTGTTATGTCCACGGTACTGCTCATGTCTATAGGCGACGGTTACCACTTTCCATCAGGTGGGCCGTCAGCTTGTTTGCCATTCTATGTTGTATAAATAAAACACTGTATTGAAATGTTGTTAATGTTGATGAAAATCCAAAATAGAATAGGAATAGATATATCTCTATAAAAAATGCGTCACATTTTGTCAAAAGAGTAAATAAGTACTATATTTTATTATATCTTGCGTGTATGTTTTGTTTCTGATGTGTGAGATTTATTAGAACTTGATTTTAATAGCAGTTTTCAGTAAAAATATCAGGACCTACCCACGAAGTAGATATAGATAGGTAGATAGATAATTTATTTGCATCACTTACAGCACACAAACAGCACAAGATACAAATGCAATGTGAAAAAAGATACATATACAAAAAATAAAAAAAAAAAAAAAATCAAAAACATTTATATTTTCTTTTTATTAACATTTCCAGCAACATCTGAAAGATTGCGGAAGTATACTGGAGCAGTGTCCTTTACGATGTGGAGCCTGGATACAGAGGAAACACAGAGAGACTCACGTCAAGGAGTGTCCCAAGAAAGAAAGGGTATCTTCTCTTCTCTTCTCTTTTGTATTTATTGAAAGAATAAACATGTCCTGTTCATCAAACTTCATATACAATCATACCTAAGGGAGCATCATCACCTTACTACCGTTATCTAAATTATTATTTGGAATCAGCGTAATATATATATATATATATATATCAATATTACAAAAAGATTTGGCTTATAGTTCTACGACCGGCCGCCTGCCTGACGTCAACCCTCTTTGGGAACGCATTTGTTGGTGGTTTCCGCCACCTATGGTATGGAGGAAAGAATTGAGAAAAAAAAGGAAGTGATCGTTGGATACACGTAAAGGAAATTGGCAGATAAGAGGTATAAGGGACTTATGTGGGAAGGGAAAGGGGAGGACACTGCACTTGTGAAAAGGACTGGGACACTGCAGCGGCTCTGGAGGTCGGGGTCGCATACCCGTATGCCCTTATTTTGGAATCGGACAGGTTTCTAGAGAAAGACACTCCTGACGCAAATTATATCAAAGAGTTTTTATGCTAAAATAATCTGCTTCTGTATTATTGACCAACTCATGTCTCTGTTATGAAGTAGCTATGCTTGTATGACTAGGTTTCTGTTTGAATAGTGGGATATGTCAATAAGATTATAGAATATGGAGGCATACCACCATAGTTCTATGGAATGGATGATGCTACTGTTTATATTTATAGACGATAGTTACTGTTACCATCATATAACGACATAGCCAGTTGGGTGGTCATATTCTTTGCCATTCAAAGTCTTATAAAAATAACTTGGGAAAGCATGACACTTAATCATTATCATCATCACATCAACTATTGTGCTGAATTTCAAGTGTATTCATTATGATAGACTAACTGACCTGCCTTTTCGTTGTCACCCATCATCTCTAACTGGTGCCTCGCCAGCGTATACCGTTAGCGCAGGCGGGGTTACCATTCCATTATCATCCACTAAAAAAAAAATACATAAATAAATAAATTCTGTTATGTCCATTGCACTGCTCATGTCTATAGGCGACGGTTACCACTTTCCATCAGGTGGGCCGTCAGCTTGTTTGCCATTCTAAGTTGCATAAAAAAATACAGCGTTGGAGGGCGATAAGGATTGTTAGTAATATGATCTAACAGCTCCACTGCTAGCAATATACTCTTTTAGATCGACCTCCACGCGGTTCCCTCTAGAAACCGTCGTGGTTATTAACTCTTGTTGAATTCGTCACGACGGGCTAGTTGACCTGCTTTCATCCTCACCTATCATCACTCACTGGTGCCCCCTCAGTGTACATCGAAAGCGCAGGCGGGGTAACCATTTCTTTATCATCCATAAAAATATAGCGTTTACAAATATTAACAGTATTTTTTTTTATGTCACATTCCAGAACTCGCAAACGTTTGAAAGGTCATGGAGTCCGCAGCCGCCGATTCACACGTGGGTTCCGAAGGCAGACGAGGGGATAGCTCGTTTAGAGAAAGAGATCGATGCCATCAAGTAAGTGAAAAACTGTCGTCTGCAGTTGCGATACAGTTGTAAATATCATTTTTTGTACATCAAGCTGTTCGTTGCTTGGTTCCTCATACACAGTTTGCAGTAGATTTAAAAAAATGTCGATTTAAAAATGCTTGTAGACAAGTCGATTTGAATTTGAATTCAGTATTTAATAGTGGATTCTACTATTTAATACTGAATTAATTCTTAAAATTATTTCTCTATTCATCTATAATTCGATTGCTACACATGTATGACTGTAACTACTAATGAACTGTCAGTTTTCTCAAATTGGGTTTGCTGGAAGAAATCTCTATTGGAGATAAGCTCGCCTTTGTGCACTATTATGTTTGTTTTTACATTTTAATAACCTTTTGTGTGTACAATAAAGAAAATAAAGAAATAAAAATTGATTAAAATTTCTCTGATAATTTAAATGTCTTGCCTTGTTAAAAATTCCATGTTATTCAAAATGAATAACACTCTATAATATCTTAGTGTCATAGTTATAACCATATTGGAAGATAAATATATAGCAAATAGTATTGACATGACAGAACGTCAAGATGGATACGTCTCGTAAAGAAAAGTTGAATGGACTCTCCTTTGTAACAAAGACCTGCGGTAAAAACAGTGTGCGTTGAATATTAAGGTTCAATACTACATTATACATACATACATACACATTCAATTGAGTTATATAATCAGCATGTCTAGTCGAAAAATTTATCGATTCCATTCTTGTATGTAGTTTCCAATCATTAAATTTAAAATTAAATACGTTATGCTACATCGAATGGTACAACGTGCTTGAGACTGGATGACGATTATGTGCTTGTTGAACTTATTCTGTTGAAAAAGAATGTACCATTTACTATATATATATATATATATATATATATATATATATATATATATATATATATATATATATATATATATATATATATATATATATATATATATATATATATATATATATATACAACACCCAAGCTATTCCTCAGACGTTGCCATTTCTTGCTTTGCCAAGGATTACGGTGTTATGTCAGTAGCTCGTAAATTTCACTATCATATCAGCTGCAGAATTAGAATGAATAAATGAGTATACTTTATTTATATTATACAATATAGGAAATAAGCAAGACAATTTACAAACATAACGACACATTTGTATACGTACAGTAAGGCGGTCTTATTGCTGAGAGCAATATTTTCAAGACAACCTTAAGGTAACGGACTAATTGTTGTACAAGTAGGTATCATACCTACTAGTGCTGTATAATTAAAAAAAAATCTTTTGCAAATTAAATATATATATATATATATATATATATATATACATACATACATACATACATATAAAGAATTAGATTGAGAAAAGTCGATGAATTTTATACAAAAATTCTTTGTGGAAAAATTATAAACTTCTTATTGATCTAATTCTTTTGAGAATTATAATAATGTAGATATAGTTAATAAATATAAACAGTAAGATGTATTCCTAACAGTGCTTCTAGGATTCAAAATAATTTCAAGACTTGTTTCAATTAATTCTTTCAGACTGGCACTAGCAGAGTTGGCCAGCCACAGAGACCTCCAAAGTACAGAGATAGAGAATGTGCGCTCCAAGTTGATACTGATTGAGGAGCGGACCGAGCACTTCATCTCCACGCTGGTCGCGATCAGGACCACCGTCGACGATGAAGCGGAACGCACGACAGATTTCACGGCGCAGTTCAAACATGACTTGGCTAATGTACAATTGGCGTTACAGGTGCATATTCCTTCCTACAAATTCTGTCTTTTAAAATTTAATCAACTTCCAGCAGCGGTATTTCCGAACCGATACGACAACATAACCTTCGAGAAAAGAGTATATTCCTTTTTAAAAGGCTGGCAGCACACCTGCAATGCCGTTGGTGTTGCGGGTGATCATGGGCGGCGGTAGTCACTTACCATCGGGTGAGCCGCATGCTCGTTTGCACCCTGTGTAGTAAAAAAAAATTTTGCGTCAGGTAGCAGCATTTGCGTGTGTATTTGACACAGGTCGATAGAGTGCAAATAATGCTTCCATTATGCTGTTATGCTTGTTTAGCGAAGGTTCTACACATAACATAGAAGAATCCCTTACTTATTGAACTATTTACCTGAGGGAGACTTTGTACAAATTCTGTCTTATTAAATCTCAACGTCAGCATTATTTGCGTGTGTTTTTTTTATGCAACTTACAATGGCAAACAAGCTGACGGCCCACCCGATGGAAAATGGTAACCGTCGCCTATAGACATGAGCAGTACCATGGACATAACAGAGTATACTGTTTCGCCCATGATACCCCCCATGCGTTGCCATTCCTGAGAACTCAGGTGTTATTCCTCTGTACCCAGTAAATTCACGCCATATCTTTCAAACCGAAACACAGCCATGCAAACACAACTGTTTCACGGTCGAAACACGAATGGGGCAGAGGTACCCAAGCAATCGACTTTTGTACCTTTGTACAAGTCTCTCTCCTTCCCGAGTTAAAAGCGATTATCTAACTTCTATTAATTCATGATATAATATTTCAGGAAATGCAAAATGAGCAGTTAAATACAGCAATGCGTTTAGAGAGTGCAACCAACCAAATTGTACATGAGCAGAATGAGAGAGAACTGCTGGAGCAAGCGCTGACACATCATGACAATAGGATCAGGGCGGTCAATAAACTTGGTACGTAGAGTAAATATTGAAATGTTTCTATCACTTTTTTTTTTCAAGAAATGAGTTATTAGAGGCAAAAAGATTTCTCTTAAATCTAGCTGGTAGTTTCAGGGATTAGTGCATCAAAACAAGAAAATATATAAAAAAAAAAACCGTTAAATCTTTTGTTTTATTATATTAATCGTAGCAAAGATACAGGCTCATCTAACATATATAATTTAACACACTCTTTTTAATAGGTTTCTATCTTTTCTTTATTCCTTTCTTTTGCTTGCAAAAATGCAATGCATTTTCAAGTGAAAAAATTGGCATTTTTGCAAGCAAAAGAAGGTATTTTTTTACTTATTTGAATTTTATTTATATATATATTTTATTTATATGATTTTTCTCCTTGCTGTTGCTGCTTTGGTGTTAAATCCGCTATATGTACACTTACTTACATATATAATAGTGCATTGACGTTTAAATAAATAAATATAAGGAAAACAATTTAAACAATATTTTCAAAAACTTCACAACTTATTCTTATTATTGCAGAGGATGTGATAGAATATTTGAGACAGACAGTAGAAGAAGAACGGGAGAGGAATACAGAAAGTCGTGCAGTTCTAGAAGCCGAGTTGATAGAAGCACGCAGGTCGTCACAGCAGTTGGCACATTTGTCGGCTCTCAGGGAACAGCTGCAAACTGCTTCAACGTCAGATAGGCCGGTAAGAAAATGTTGGAATAGAAATTATTGGTCTACGAGTACGTATTATTTAATATCTACTTTGTTTACTTAAATAATGTTTTAATTCTATCTGTAAAGACCTATTTAAACCTAACGTAACTAGTAGGTTTGTAGTTGTTTGGAGGAAATAAATAACAACTAACTTGATTATAATATTGATTCACATACAATGAGAGAATGACAGCAGAAATGAATGTGAGAAGTAAACGTCGCTGTCATGTCTGTACGTCCAGTGCGAAAGATAGAAAGAGGTGAAATGTCTATGTACAATTAAATTAACCTACTTGATGGGAAAGAAAGTAATGATGTTGACAAGTGGCTATGAGATGAATATTTACAATATTTATTTACAGACGCCACAGGTTATTAAATGACAGTGAGAGTTATTAAATGGCATTATAGTGGGAACCACTGTCTTACCTGCCATCTAACTGGAATATGTGCATTGTAGTTTAGAGAGTAAAGGTTGACGAGGAAGAATGCTATATAGTATTAAGTCTGCCTCTTGTACCAACAGTAATGTGGTTAATGAAAAATAGATAATATAAATATTAATAAAGTGGCCAATGCAATTTTAGGGGTACAAGTCCCCGGGGCCCGCAAGCCGGTGCGGGCCAACGCCGTTGGGGCTCGGTGGATTTCGAAAGGGACCCCGGGTCCCCAACACTATGGCGCGGCGAGGGATGCCGTGGTGGTTTTAGCCGGTAGGAGTCCGGCAGTACCCATAAACCTCCCCCGGGGCTTATGGGTCTGCATGAGGCATTTCCCCACGAAAAAAAAGGGGTATAAGTTACAACATATTAAAGATCAACATGTGAAGAGCGCCATGATTATAATATCTCTCTCTTCATTGTGATCTTCATGGGCCATGAGGATCACAATTTGCTGGCGAAGAGTAAAGTAGTGAATTATGTTTTTATACAATTTAAACAACAATAACCACTGACAGACTTGCCATAAAGATAAATTTATAGCAGCAGATTCTAGGGGAAGCAAATTTAGAACCTTTATAAAGTTACCATTTAATTGAGCGGTAAAACCTGAATCTTGGAGGGTTTTGCCAGTTGCCAACGCTTGGCAGGCAGGTTGACAACCGTATTTAGGCTTTGGTGATGTTTTAAGAGGGGCGCTGCTGCCCATCCCTGGAGTACGTCGATTAGTATAGAAAAATCAATGTATCCAGGCTATCGATCGACTAGCGATATTGGAGGTAGCAACAGCGGATGCCCGCGCAGAGGCGGCCGAGCATGCTGCCAAAATGGACATAGTGCTGAGGGACATGCGGGCCCTCACCAAGTCGTACCACAAGTTGCGCAGCGAGCTCGCCGACTTCCAGACCAGGGTCAGCTTTGACAAATACGAAACCAGCAGTGACAATGGTAATTTTTCTTTTAAATGGTTTTTACATAGTTAATTTTCAACTTTTACGTTGTTTGCACATATTTTTATATACACAATCGGGACTTAGCGCAATGTAAAAGCCTTTACAGGTGAATAGTACCTACATACCTGCTTCTTTATTGCCGACGTTACGACGCGGATTGCACCAGGTCGTGGCGTGGTCACGACAGGACTGTCGTATGCACGACCAATAAAAAAGCAGGTATGTAAGTACTACTTACCTGTAAAAGCTTTTACATTGCATTAAAATATGATTTTTACATGATGAATTCATCATTATTAACCACGATGGTTTCCAGGGGGGACCGCGTGGAGGTCAACCTGAAAGATTATGTTTTTTTTTATACAATTTAGAATGGCAAACGAGCTGACGGCCCACCTAATGGAAAGTGGTAACCGTCGCCTATAAACATGAGCAGTATCATGGACATAACAGAGTATACGTTTCGCCCATGATACCCCCCCATGCGTTGCCATTCCTGAAGACTCAGGTGTTATTCCTCTGTACCCAGTAAATTCATGCCATATCCCACCCTTCAAACCGGAACACAGCCATGCAAACACAACTGCTTTACGGTTGAAACACGAATGGGACAGAGGTACCCAAGCAATCGCCTTTTGTACAGTCTCCCTCTGGTATGTTGCTAGCAAATGGAGACTAATATTATTATTGCTAAAAATCCCTTTTCCCCTATTTAATACATCTACTATTGAATAGTGTGTTGTTCTAGGACATTACATATGGCGGATAGACAACTTCTTGGCAAGAATGAAAGATGCAAAGGAAAACAATACCGTGCTGTCAAGTTCGCATTTCCGCACAAGTAAATTCGGATACACTCTGAAGGTAATTGTGAAATTAAATTTTTAAAGGCGCATAATATAAATAAGTTATGTTTGATAGGAGAGTGGACTATATATTTTACCTAATTGCATATAGGAGTATATGTCATAGTAAATATTTAGAAATACAATGAATTTCAGAATAACAATATCATTATACCAACCGTTATCTGTCCACTGCTGAACATAGGCCTACCATAGACCAAGGAACCGGGCTGTTCCTTATGGTAGTTTATCAGGAGTTTCCCTAGTAGATACAATTGACTGTTAAAAAGTTTTTAATCTCTTTAAATGATAATTTATGCCTTCCATGAGACCATGCCTCCTCTCCAGAGAGACATGCCTGTAGTTGCCACGCTTGGCGAGTTGGCAATTACAGTTTGACTTTTAGTAATATTTTAAGAGGGATACTGCTGTTTATCCCTCAACCATTATGTTTCCTGAGTCGCCTCTTACGACACCCACGGGAAGGGAAGGGATGGTCCGTTCAATATTGGGTCCATAAGGCATGTTAGATATATATGAGACTCCAAGTTTGTCTCTTGAAATTTTACCAGGAATCTAAGGAATGAAGGAGATTATCTTTGGGGTCGATTGTGAGACGTCACTACTCTAAATGTATCTCTTAACGTAATATTTCAATTTGATAATTTCACGAAATTCTTGCTTTTTAGATTATCATAAATTTATAGTAATTTTTACTTAAACTGGTTCTTAAAATAATTAAGATCGTGTTCCACAAAAAAACCGATTCGTCGCCATATTTTATAAATTAAAGCCATTAGACATTAGATACGTAATGCTTTAATAATTCAGATAAATACAAAAAGTAAAGATACAATATAAAAGACTAGCAAGGAGTTTAAAACAACAATTAAAGTAAAACCAGTTATTTTTAATTAAAAACTAAATTACTGACCCGATTTTTTTTTACTTCTACGATACAAATCTAAGTATATTCTTTCAGATAAAAAAGTTAACGTTTAACGGTTCAGAGTTTAGTTACGAGATAGCATATATAAAAAAAATTCGAACCTTTGATAAAAAAAATTATTAATTACTGACAATTTTTAATTATATCAAACAATTCATCTTCCAGAGGGAGACTTCTGGTGTGTTTGCATGGATATGTTTCGGTTTGAAGGGTAGGATATGGCGTGAATTTACTGAGTATAGAGGAATAACACCTGAGTCCTCAGGAATGGCAACGCATGGGGGGTATTATGGGCGAAACAGTATACTCTGTTATATAGCCATTCTAAGTTGTATATATGTATATATATATATATATATATATATATATATATATATATATATATATATATATATATATATATATATATATATATATATATATATATATATATATATATATATATATATATATATATATCCATAACTTTGAAATCCATTTCATGTTCATCGAAACGTTTCCAGGCGGAGGTGCACCTGAACGGCATAGGTCGGTGGAAGGGCCGCCACATAACATGCACGGTGCGTTTGATGGCGGGCCCCTACGACCCGCTGCTCGAGTGGCCCTGCGATATATCCGTCAACATTGTACTGAAGGACCAGCCGGCTAATCGCAAGCAGGTAATATTATACGCCATTTAATACAGGAGACACAACCATGGTAGTTGCTTGGTGACAGAAATAGAATAGTTATCCTGGTTGCGCTATCAGTTTACGGTGGCGGGACACCAGTGAGGAAAGATGAGAATGAAGTTAGGTTGGTTAATCTAACGCGATCAATTCGCCTGAAATTCACTAGTTTTCCAGGATGAATCGTGTGGCGATAGTTCCCATTACTACCAATTTTATGCCTTCTCCGTGCTCAAATTAGGGCATGAGCTCTCTGCTGAAACTACAAATGTGTTTCGTCGAAAAGGATGTATTAAGGTTTTTTAATGGGTGATGATGGAATAGTAACCTCGTCCGCACTATCAATGTACACTAGCAGGGTAGCAGTGAGAGATGAAGATTAGGCATTTGTCCCATCATGACGAATTCGTCAGGAATTTACCACGATGGTCTGTAGGTGGCTTTTTTTTAATGGATGAAAATGGAATGGTTCACCCGCCAATGGTAACTGTTTACAATGACGGGACAGTATTAGGGGATAAAACGATGAGGATAAAGTAAAGTTAGTGGGCACATCGTGGCGAATTCACTAGGAATTACCTGCAACGGTTTCTAGGAAGGATTGCGGTCGACCTGAGTATATTTCTAGCAATAGGACCTCATTATTAACAATTATTTTTCCCTCGGCCTATTAAAGTTTATTTAGCTTTAGCAACGCGTATGTGATAGTCACGTAGACCTTTCCCACGAGAGGTTATCAGATTCCCACGACGTGGTGTAACCCACGTCGAAACGTCGACAATAAAAATCAACATTATAGGGGGGGAGAAGGGATTGTTAGTAGTGGGGATTTTTTTTTATAGGTGATAATGAAATAATAACCCCACCCGCGCTATCAGTATACACCGGCGGGGCATCAGTGAAGGATGATAGACGAGGATGAAACAGGTCAGTTGGCCCATCTTGACGAATTCAACGAGAATTGTTCACGATGGTTTCCAGGGGAACCACGCGGAGGTTGACCTGATAGGGCATATTGCTAGCAATGGGTCTGTCAAATTCTATTGCTAACAATCCCTTCCCCCCTAGTGGAAATTAGTAGCCCCATTGCTAGCAATATATCCTGGCAGGTCGACCTACTCGTGCTTCTCCCTGGAAACCATCGTGATTGATTTATTGTTAGATTCGTCACGATGGGCTAACTGACCTGTTTCATTCTCAACTATCATCCTTCACTGGTGCCCCCCCGGTGTATACCGATAGCGCAGACGGGGTTACCATTCCATTATTATCCATAATCAACATTATATTAACTGCCGTAATTAACTATCCACTGCTGAACATAAGCCTTACCATAAACGGGGGTTTTACCAGTAACAGCCACGCTTGGCACGCGGCTTGGCAACTGCATTTAGCTATTCGTGACGTTTTAAAAGGAACGCTGCTGCCAATCCTTCGATCATTTAAGTTCCTTTAGTCGCCTCTTACAACACCCACGGTAAGGAAGTGGTGGTCCCTTCTATGCTGGGACCACACGCCAAATATATGTAGGTACAACTTATTGATAATCGCGTTGCGTTAAGTGCTGATCGTGAATTTAAAATATGCCATTTCATATTGCATAAAAATATATTTATAATTACTCCTCTCCATCCAAAGGTTGCCTGGAAGAGATCGCTCTTAGCGATAAGGTCGCCCATTGTTTTCTCACTGTGATTATTTTTTGTAATTGTTTATATTTATAATAAGTTTACTATTGTAATCTTTTGGAGGAAACAATAAAAAGTATCTATCTATCTATCTATATTTGATCTATTTAAACATTGATGGCCTCTCTTTTCAGGCAATGGATATAGTAAAAACTTTACAAGTGCGTCGGAGGTCGGCGGCGACCCGTCACGATTATGATGACGATGAAGAGGACTTGAGCAAGTCCACCGAGGGCCTGGACAAGACCGTGGTCCAGCTCAAACGGCAGTACATATTCTTTCCTCATACCAGTCTCGACAAGTTGGAGTATATAAAAAATGACGTCATGTTTTTAGAGTTTATTGTGAATAAGTAAAATTTTGAAGTTAAAACAACCAGAGGGAGACTTTGTACAATAGTAGATTGCTTGGTTACTTCTGTCCCATTCGTGTTTATACCGTGAAGCAGTTGTGTTTGCATGGCTGTGCTTCGGTTTGAAGGATGGGATATGGTGTGAATTTACAAGGTACAGAGGAATAACACCTGAGTCCTCAGGAATGGTAACGCATGGGGGTATCATGGGCGAAAAAGTATACTCTGTTGTCCATGGTACTGCTCATGTCTATAGCCGACGGTTACCACTTTCCATCAGGTGGGCCGTCACCTTGTTTGCCACTCTAAGTTGTATAAAAAAAAAAACAATATTTACTGTTAATGGTCCAATATAATAGATTTAGATCACATGATCAAAAAATGTTACAAAGCGCCCCAAAAACGATCATTGGCACGTATTTTTTTTTTAAATTAACGATTCTTAATTTCCACGTCGCGAAATGTAATTTAAAATTTAACGGGCCACACGACACGTGATACCTTCAACGCGTGCTCAGTAGCGCTTCTTCTTAGGTACTTTATGTGCGCTTAGGGCGTTGACCTTTCACAGCTGATTCCGCGTATCGCGGAAGGAATTTAATAAGTGTATTACATTCTTTATATTGTGACCATAATATAATAAATTATATGATTTTATATAAAAAAAAACAGGAAAAAAATTGAAATTTTCCGAAAAGAATTTCCACTGATTTTCGATTCAGAATAATGGTTTGAATTCACTATTTCAGTTTCTTCCAACCTGTCCCTTACACCTTGTCTATGGGTAAAAATCCAAAATTAAGATAAAAAATGTATTCTTTAAATGATAAAGAAAAATCTTTATAAATATGTAACGACCACCGAATTTCTAATTTGCTATTAGATATGTAGTGTTTGTAGATAATTTTGATACATTATGGACATTTTGTAAGAAAATATATTTTGTAATATTTAATTATTGTGTATTTAGGAAGTAATAAATGAACACATAAAAAGAAAAAAAATACTTCTTTCTCTTTTTGCGCGTGTCTATGTGTCTGTTGCTATTTGTGTGCTGTGATGCAAATAAATTATCTATGTAAATAACTATCTAAAAACATAGTATTTTGTTACTTTGTTTAAATTATTTACCAGTAATGTGTAAGACATGTGGCAAAACTATAGATAGTCTATGGGATAGAATGAGATGGCAATTTGAGCCATAGACTTAATTTAACCACAGATAATATAATATTATGCTAGTAGTATAACAAAGTAAGATTTGAGCTGTATTGCTCTTCCTCATGGGAGTGCCGACCAAATCAATTCTATCGACAGATTCGTTTGTCACTTCTCTTTATTTTAAATTCAAACAAACCTATAGCTTACTAGGGGCGGGTAATATATATATATATATATATATATATATATATATATATATATATATAGGTAATCGTAGCCTATGAACGCCTGCAATACCAGAGGTATTACACGCGCGTTGCCGACCCTCTTTACCCCCCTTTTGAAGAACCCCATGCTGTAGTCCCTTGGGAAAACCTCGGCAGGGAGCTCATTCCATAACCTGAGTGTTCGTAGGAGAAAATATCTCAAATTCTCAAAGAATTCACTATAGTTTGTATAACTATTAATTTATATTTTATATTCAGTAAATAAAACACTACAAGCACACTGTATAAATATTTTTATTTCTAATAGTTCATAACAATATTTTGTATGACAATAGAATAATTAGGCACACGTAACAACTTTTAATATTTTGTTAAAATTCCGGTTTAGTCTTTATTATTTCTTAATATGCGTAATATTCTGGATGGAGGAGGACATAAGTGCTATATATTTCCAGGTAAAATCGCGGGTAAAGACTAGTACAATACAACAGAGACACGTCACAACAACACTCATAAACTATCATTATTTCAGACTAGCTGACCAGCGCTAGCGAGTCCGTGAGATAGAATGAGATAGCAACGTCGGATGTCTCATTCCAACTCATGAAATCGATAGCGATGTCGATTCCATTGACGAATCCGCTCGCCATTTGTCTAGAGGGCCTGGTAGATTAAAAAGGCCATTTTACATCAATCAAAATAAAAATTTACATACCCGCCGAGTTTAACTGGCATTGGCATGACAGTGAATGTCAGTTGTCAACTTACATCTGTCATTTGGCTGACATTGCTGTCATGTCATTGCTGTTTACTGGCATGTACTTAAGGTTTTTTTATAATGGTTAAAAATGGAATGGTAACCCCTCCCGCGCTATCGGTATACACCGGCGGGGCACCAGTGAGGGATGACAGGCGAGAATGAAGCAGGTCAGTTAGCCCATCCTGACATATTCAACAAAGAATCAATCATGAGGGTTTCCAGGGAGAACCGCGTGGAGGTCGATGTAATAGGGTTTATTGCTAGCAATGAGGTTGCTTATCCTCATTACTAACAATCCCTTCTCCCCCCGGTTAATAAAGGATTAATAAATAATAAAATCCATATGTACTTTTTCAGTCTCCATTACAGTAATATTTGATAGTAATAATACATTCACATCGGGGGGAAAGGGATTGTTAGTAATAGAGACTGAGAATCCCATTGCTAGCAATATACCCAACCAGGTCGACCTCCTCGCGGTTCCCCGTGGAAACTATCATGGTTAATTCCTGCTGAATTCATCATGATGGGCTAACTGGCCTGTTTTCATTCTCATCAATCACCCTTTACTGGTGCTCCGCCAGCGTATCCCGTTAGCGCAGGCGGGGTTATCATACCATTTTCACCCATCAAAAAAAAAACCTTTAACATCGGCAGGTTATATGAAGCAAATCCTATTATGATTCGCGAACAAAGGGGTTTAAGGCCCTCATAGACGTTGTCGATATCATCCTAAATACATTTTTATAACCTTACTCTAAAGCATTTCATATGAAACAAATCCTATTATTGTAACAATTAACAAAGAGGTTTAAGGCCCTCATAGACGTTACCGATGTCATCCTAAATAAATTTTTTTTGTCTTACTCTAAAATATTCATTAGGACCACCACGAACAATAAAAAAAATAGTCAAGTAGGTCGGACTGTTCTCAAATTATGCATTTATCAATTATATTGTATTTATATAAGTATTCTTCATTATATACATAGATTTAAATAATGTTAATTAAATGAAAAAAAGAATGTATTACATTTGTATATAATTAATGACAGTTACAATCAAAATCGAATTAGCAATGAGGAGGTCCTGCTTAGGGTTAAGGAAAAAAGACAAATTATTAGAACTATTGAGGACAGAAGGGGAAAAATGTTGGGACACTTGATACGACACGACGAACTTATGAACATTATAATAAAAGGTAAGATAGAAGGAAGGAGGGGAAGAGGGAGACCAAGGCATAGTTACATCAGGCAGATCAAGGAAGGAGTTGGTGTCGTGTCGTATCAAGAGGTGAAGGGACTCGCTGAAAATCGTAGTGAGTGGCAAGAGCTCCACCGACAAGAGCGCAGCTCTTAAATAGGATAGATAGACAATCAAAATGGCGACAGGCGACAAACGCCACTGACTACCCCATTAGGGATTATAGTCGAAAACATATTTTTATTTTATCATTAACAATTATTACTTTATTTTTATAAACTACAAACTACATAGGACTTATTTCATATAAATTCGATGAAGAAAAATTTGTACATTACGTTTGTAAAATGTAAAATTAATTACATAAACATTTAGCATTTACAGAAATATTTTATATGTATTTAGAACAATATATAAAATAAATTTTAGTCATTTTCTTTATAGTTATTAAAATTCACAGATTCATTTTAAAACTTCGTAAAATAATAACATTATTATGTATTATTATTATTATTTTATCGATCTTCCTAAGACATCTATACTTATAATAAATCTGTAGAGAGTTCAATTCTGTACATGAAATATATTTCCAAAATAACTATCAGGCGGTGATTAGTAATCGATACTGATGCCAAAAATGCAATCAGTAAAATTTTTGTGTCTGTCTGTATGTTCGTTATAGAAGCAAAAACTACTCGACGGATTTTAACGAAACTTGGTACAATTATTATTGTTCATACTCCTGGGCAGGTTATAGTATACTTTTCATCACGCTACGATCAATAGGAGCAGAGCAGTGAAGGGAAATGTTGTGAAAACGGGAGAAGTTACTCCATTTTTAAGCTTCCGTCGCGTGTGCAACCTTAATGGCCACTTTTTAAAATGTAAAAATGTCCACCCGTGCGACGCCGGGACGGGCCGCTAGTAAGTAAAAAATAATATTAAAGAAACACCTAAGAAAGGGAAAATGTATTGTAGACATATTAAAAATCTATTGTTCAGCCAAGGGTGCCGAAGATTAGAAAGACGTTGAATTTGTTAATTAAAAAAAAATCTAAAGCAGTAGTTTTTTTTAATAGTTGGACTAGTGAGGTAGCGTTTAACATTTATATCACGACCATCGTGAAAGAACGGAAGCGATCCATTTTCTATATACTATTATGGTGGCAAACAAGCATACGGCCAGTCTGATGGTAAACGGGGTTATCGTAGCTTATGGACGCCCGTAACACTAGGTAGTACCACGCGCGCGTTGCCGGACCCATAAGAAACTTTTATATGCCCTTTTTGAAGAACTCAACGCTGTAATCTCTAGAGAGCAGTTGGGCAGGAAGGTTTTCCACAACCTGATTGTTCTCCATGCCCAATAGTGGGACAACAATGGGCTATAATGCCTAATATTTCTTTAGACAATTTCCCAAAGTACTGTTTACCTTATTTCTAATCGAATCAGGAATTCGATAGATCAATTTTACAGGAGAGATTTATATTGTGCCAGAAACTCCTCTTCTTCGATCAGGGTGGTGTCCAAGTGGTCGTCTTCCTCTGTCCTGATCGCTGACGACAGCCTCTCGAGTGCCATTTCACATTCTTCCTTACTGTAATACAGAACAGGAATTATTTAAATATACCTGTTTTCAACTTCTTTTGAATCGTAATTTTTTATTATTCTATATTTGGGGGTTCGGAAAGGTTTCCATTGAGAAGAACTTACAAGAAATACAGTTGTGAATATTATTAAATGTTTTATGTTATATTATTATTATCTTCAACTGTCCACTGTTGAACAAACGCCTCCCCCCTGGGGGGTATCATGGCCAAAACAGTATACTCTGTTATGTCCATGGTACTGCTCATGTCTATAGGCGACGGTTACCACTTTCCATCAGGCGGGCCGTCAGCTTGTTTGCCATTCTAAGTTGTATAAAATATATATATATATATATATATATATATATAAACAGAATTTTCATCGTGCCTCCAATCAAACTGTTAATAATTACTCCTCTCCAAATCAAAAGTTGCTTGGAAGAGATCACTCTCAGCGATAAGGTCGCCCATTGTTTTCTCATTGTGATTATTTCTTGTAATGGTTTATATCTATAATAAGTTTACCATTGTAATCTTATGGAGGAAACAATAAACAGTATCTATCTATGTTATTTGGAACAAGTTACATGAGAGTCAGATGAGTCAGCTGACTCGCTTTCATCCTCACCTCTGACTCGCATATGCCGACAGCGCAGGCGCGGTAACCATTCCATTATAAAGAAGTTAAAAAACAGGCATAAACGTACCGTTTGCTTTTTTTGTGTTTGTTCGGTTTCTTCTTACTGGACGTCGCGGCGCTGGTTGACGGGTCGGTTGGGTTTGCAGCACCTATGTACATAAAAATATATAAAATACTAATAATGCACCTGGGCTTTGCATAGGTGCAAATTGTACATACAAAGTTTATTAAAACAAAATGTACGTAACAGTAAAATTTCTATAACAATTACAATAGTTCGAAATAGAGGCATCTTAACATTAATTAATTTTACCAGAGGGAGACTTTGTACAAAAGTCGTTTGCTTGGGTACCTCTGTCTCATTCGTGTTTCAACCGTAAAGCAGTTGTGTTTGCATGGCTGTGTTTTGGTTTGAAGAGTGGGATATGGCAGTGATTTTACAGGGTACAGCGGAATAACAACTGAGTCCTCAGGAATGGCAACGCATGTCATAGGCATCATTGGCGAAACAGTATACTCTGTTATGTCCATGGTACTGCCCATGTCTATAGGCGACGGTTACCACTTTCCATCAGGCGGGCCGTCAGCTTGTTTGCCATTCTAAGTTCTATAAAAAAAAAAAAAAAAAAAAAAAAAAAAAAAAAAAAAAAAAAAAAAAAAAAAAAAAAAAAAAAAAAAAAAAAAAAATTTCAAGTATAACTATTTAAATATCCACTGACCGTCAACGATGTGTCCCCCACTGGCGACCAGCAGGTTGGCGGCCTCGTCGAGACTGTTGTTGGTCACACGCAGCGCTGCCTTCGCCTCTTCTGACTCGTAGCCCATTGCTTCCAACTACGAAAATATTAGGGTACATTCTGAGGTGTCAATCTCTGAAATTATTTCTCAAATTGCCTTTTAAATTTGACAGTTTAACAAAACTATTACAGTGTGAACCATAGACAATTAAATATAAAATGGTTCTAACGCAAATCTAGTAAAAAAAGTTTATTATGGTCCTTAACACTTAACGAATAGGCCTGTAAATTTACGTTTTTCCATCCTGTGTTGTTTTTCATTCCTAGCACGGGACACGAAAATCTGCGTTTTTGAATGAATTTTATTATGTTGCATTTTGGGTCTTCTTTTATGCACAGTGTTATTTTTTTAATGCTATTATTTATAATACTGTCTGCCCGTTGCTCCTATGGCTTAAATTTTAGGAAATAAAGGAAAGAGAGCAGATTCGACCCGTCTGTTAAGTGTTAAAATAATCAATTCTCTGGAATATCAAATTGAAATTTCAAATATGAGAAACATGATCACTGCGCATCATAGAATACTCTGTGATATCCAGGATCATATATTTATTCCTGAAGACTAGATGTTATGTCTTTGCACCCTGTAATTTTTTTGCCATATCCCACCCTTCAAACCGAAACACAGTCATGCAAGCATAGCTTCACGACAAAATATGAAAAGCATATAGAAAAATATAAAGAAATATATACATCGTTGAATAATAACTATCGTATGGTATTACGCGATCGTATAGTATAGTACTACGCGAGCGTTGCTGACCAGTTTGAAGTTAGTCAGAGCACTCTCAAATTTAAAACTTGAGGAAAGTAAAATAAAATAAATATATACATTTTTTTTATACAACTTAGAATGGCAAACAAGCTGACGACCCACCTGATGGAAAGTGGTAACCGTCGCCTATAGACATGAGCAGTACCATGGACATAACAGAGTACACTGTTTCCCCCATGATAGCCCCCATGCGTTGCCATTCCTGAGGACTCGGGTGTTGTTCCTCCGTACCCAGTAAATTCACACCATATCCCACCCTTTAAACCGGAATACAGCCATGCAAACACAACTGCTTCACGGTTGAAACACGAATGGGACAGAGTTACCCAAGCAATCGACTATTGTACAAAGTCTCCCTCTGGATTAAAACACGCATACATGTGTTTAGTTAAACACGATACCTCAGCAATCAACTTGTTGTCCGGTTCTACGAGCGAGACATCAGAACTGGTCGTTTCAGTGTCGTCTGACGAATCCTCGCTGTCTGCCAACTAACATGCAACAACAACAATACGTGCTACTCACAAATACCAAAAATAATTAATTAAGCCTTAAATTATAGTAAATATACATTGATAAGCGTCTACAATTACACATATACAACTGAATTGGTCGTGTGGTCCCGGCATAGAATAGGCCATCCCTTACTATCCCGTGGATGTCGTAAGAGGCAACTAAGGGAGGGTGAGGGTTTTTTTATACAATTTAGAATGGCAAACAAGCTGACGGCCCAATTGATGTAAAGTGGTAACCGTCGCCTATAGACATGAGCAGTACCATGGACATAACAGAGTATACTGTTTCGCCCATGATACCCCCCATGCGTTGCCATTCCTGAGGACTCAGGTGTTATTCCTCTGTACTCAGTAAATTCACGTCAGAGGGTTGTGCAATATCTCTCTTAAAATATCTCCAAAGCTTAACTGCGGTTGCCAATTCGCTTGCCAAACGTGGCTACTACTGGTAAACCTCCTCAAGGGGGAGGCTTATGTTCAGCAGTGGACAGTTAAAGGCTGACATGATGATTACAACTCCAGCGACCAGCTTCGCCTTCACATTTTTTTTTTATTAATTTAAAATGTGTTAAAAAAAAAGTTATATTTGAAATGTGGCAAAACTCCATTTTGATTTAAAAACTAAAATGAAGAACCGATTTTAATAAAATAAAATTCTATGGAGTTAATTCGAAAAAAAAATAAAATAATTAGACAAAAATAATCCTAAATCATAATTTATAAATGTTAAAGTTATAAGTCAACAACAAAAAAAATTGGGAACATCTTTTTTTGAAGTCGGTTAAAGAGACTCGTTCTCGTTAGAAAACCGAATAGGTTTAGGCTTAGCACAATGTTTGTTCTGCAGCCCTGACCGCCTTGATACAGACCAAATGGTCGAGTGAACGAATTTTTTTTTTTTACAACACAGGGGGCAAAGGAGCATGCGGCTCACCTGATGGTAAGTGACTACCGCCGCCCATGATCACCCACAACACCTACGGCATAGCAGGTGTGCTGCCAGCCTTTTAAAAAGGAATATGCTCTTTTCTCGAAGGTTATGTCGTAGTATCGGTTCGGAAATACTGCTGCTGGAAGTCGATTCCAAAGAGTGGGTGTGCGTGGGAGAAAGTGCCATGAAAAACGCACGGTGGAGGACCGCCACTCGTCCATATAGTTGGGATGAAATTTTAGTTTATGGCGGGTTGTACGATGGTGAAAATGAGAAATGATAGTGACAAGTGGAGTGGAGAGTGATGTCGAGACCAGTTCCGGCTGCTCCTGTATGAGGCGCACGGCCTCGGCGGCGCGGTTGTTGGCGGCACGCAGCGCCAGCGTGGCGCGGCGGCGGGTGTAGCCCATGGCCTGCAGCCCGCGCACCAGCTGCGGGCTCACCGCGCTGCCGTCCGCACACAACCCGCGTTTGCGCTCCTCCCTGCCCGGGGACAGTGGCATATTGATTGGACAGTTTGAGAGTAATGACCTCGGCTTATAGATCTCAAATTGAGTCCTTATTATGCTCCCGGCAGCGTATATCAGTAGTTAAGACGGGACCACTATTAAGGATTGTGGTCCCGTCTTAAGATATAAAAAATGTGTGTGAATATACGTGTGTGAGCATACGTGTGCATGTATATCGTTATACGTGCGTGTGTGTGTGCGTGCGTGTGCGTGTGTGTGTGTGTGTGTGTGTGTGTGTGTGTGTGTGTGTGTGTGTGTGTGTGTGTGTGTGTGTGTGTGTGTGTGTGTGTGTGTGTGTGTGTGTGTGTGTGTGTGTGTGTGTGTGTGTGTGTGTGTGTGTGTGTGTGTGTGTGTGTGTGTGTTATAGACTTTAATAATGATTTCATGGATATGATTTATTGTTTAGCAATATATTTTTTTTATAAAACTTAGAATGGCAAACAAGCTGACGGACCATCTGATGAAATATAAAATGTAATCCTTTTAGTAATAACAAAATAAAGACAAGTGCTCACAGTTCATTTATTTTAGAAATCATACCACTAAATTATACTTATTTATTTTATTTAGCATATAATATGTAGTAAATGGCAGCAAATATGGACTAACTTAATTTGTCACTCACCGATTACTACCTACAACTACTAAGCTTGCGAGCCTAGTGTAGTAATCACTGTTTAGTAAATTGTATACCCGTATTTAAGTTTTTTTTTATACAACTTAGAACAGCAAACAAGTTAACGGCCCACCTGATACAAAGTGGTAACTGTCGCCTATAGACATGAGCATGGACATAACAGAGTATACTGTTTCGCCCATGATACCCCCCATGCGTTGCCATTCCTGAGGATTCAGTTCAAATAAAGTTATTATTATTAAATACTCAACTTCTTACAATTCATTAATAAAAAATATATCTATCACGTGCGTGTACGTAAGTGTAGGCACGCGTGCGTGCGTGCGTGCGTGCGTGCGTGCGTGCGTGCGTGTACCTGGCGCGGCGGCGGTCGTCGCTGGCGCGGCGGCGCAGGTCGCGGCGGGCGTCCCGCCTCGCAGCAAGCAGCAGGTGAGCGCGGTCGCGGTCGCCGCCCGCCGCCCGCAATCCACCCCTCGCCTGCGCCCGCGACCACCCCAGCTCCACCAGTGCACACACAGACGTCTCATCCACCTGCAAATATACACACACCCACTCTTAGATAGGTAGATAGTAAGATAATTTATTTACATTACTTACAGCACACAAATTACAATACAAACATACACACAATACACAGTAAGAGAGATAATGAAAATAAAAAAAACAACAAAAAAAAAACAAAATATATTTAACTACTGCTTTCCTTCCAAAGGTTGCCTGGAAGAGATCGCTCTTAGCGATAAGGTCGCCCATTGTTTTCTCATTGTGATTATTTCTTGTAATTATTTATATTTATAATAAGTTTACTATTGTAATCTTTTGGAGGAAACAATAAAGAGTATCTATCTATCTATTTATCTGACGTAGGAAAAGTAAAAGAAAAATACAATCAAACCACGTTATTTTACTAAATACTGGTGTCAATCATAGTGATCGACTCCTTTAGACCCTACAAACAAACAACATCAGCGTTAAAAAAAAGGAATATTCAAGTAAAAAAAAAGTGACCCTTATTCAAAGAACTTTAAAACTCAAAATCGACCTTCTTCCTCACGGCGAGTAAACATCGGAAAATTATGTATACATCTTGCAAATAGCAAATTTAGCCCAACAAAACGTACGGCGTAAAGCAAAATAAAAATATTTCCTATCTTGCTCACACTTTCGTGTTTTGTTGTAATGGTGTCTCATGTATTACTGTCACTGACTGGCACATCTATAAGGTAGGTAGTATCGTGAATTTATAATAATTAATTATTGAGTCCAAAACTACCTAGTTTTATGTCCAAATTTTTTAATAACAATGACGTAAATTATTATATCAACCCATAACTGTCCACTGCTGAGCATAGCCTTTCCCATAAGAGGAGTTTTGACAGTAGTTGCTACGCTTAGCAAGCGAGCCGGCAACTGCAATTAGGCTTTGGTGATGTTCTAGGAAGGACGCTGCTGCCCATCCCTCGACCATTAGTAATGACTTAAATAACGTTTAGCATTCCTCATCCTTTCGCCATGTGTGCCCCGGCATAGAATGGGCCGCCCCTACCTTTCCCGTGGGTGTCGTAAAAAGCGACTAAGGGAGGGCGAGGGGTGGACAGCAGTGTCCCTCTTAAAACATCTTTCAAAGCCGAAATGCGGTTGCCAACCCACCTGACAAGGGGGAAAAGGGATTGTTAGTATTGGAAACTGAGAATCCCATTGCTAGCAATATACCCAACCAAGTCGACCTCCTAGCGGTTCCCCCTGGAAACTATCATGGTTATTTCCTGATGAATTCATCATGATGGGCTAACTGGCCTGTTTTCATTCTCATCTATCACCTTTCACTGGTGCTCCGCCAGCGTATCCCGTTAGCGCAGACGGGATTACCATACCATTTTCACCCATCAACAAAATACCCGCCTGCCAAGCGTGGTAACTACTGGTAAAACTCCCCTTATGGGGAAGGCTTACATCCAGTTAACGGTTGAAATAATAATAATAATAAATTTCTCACCCTTAGCAGATTGAGTTCAGACTCGGCCTTGTCGAGCAGCTGCCTGGCCTCGGCCCTCTTGTTCTGATGATAAGCTACAATGCCTTGCAGCAAATACAGTCGCATCAACAGCACACGCTCAGTAGCTGAAAATGAAATTAACAACTTAGTAGTATTGGGAGGAGATTTTTACTAATAGTTTAGGAGTCCCAGATCGACCTGTAAGGGCATTGTTAGTTCAGCCGTTTGTCCACATTGCTAGCAATATCCTGACAGATGTATCTCTACCTGGATACAATCCTATAATCCTGGAAACATCCTGGATACAGTCGTGATTAATTCCTGGTGAATTTTTTTTTATACAACTTAGAATGGCAAACAAGCTGACGGCCCATCTGATGGAAAGTGGTAACCGTCGCCTATAATGTCTATAGGCGACGGTTAGCCGGTAGCAGTACCATGGACATAACAGACATAACCTTACCTAAATTTCCCTTCAGTTCCGCCACTGTCTGGTGCTGTTCTCCATATATCCGAAGGAGGGAGGCCTCGGCCCGCGCGAGCCTGGCGGCCGCATCGGTAGCCGACGACAGACTCTGCAGGCACAGGTAGCACCACGCTATATCCAGTTGAAGTACTGCGTAGTTGTCCACTGACTTCAAGATGGATGAGCTGCATTCACTATGACAAACATGGCAATGTTAGTAAGTTTAGTTTTTTTTTTTTATAAAACAGGAAATGGGAAGCAACCCTACGGCCCTCCATAAGTGGTAGTCATCGCCTGTACACAAGAACAGTACCTTGAGCCCATGGCATCTGCCATGCCTTACCATTCCAAAAACTAAGATAAAATAGTTCCGTACCCTGTAATTTCACTGCTCTATTTTTATTCTCTCTAAATTCGCTCTAAATTCACTGCCCTTTAAACCGAAATACAGCCATATGAATACAGCTTCCAAACAGATTACTTCCGACTTTTCATCCCTTAGTAGTAGGATAGTGTTAGATTATGAGGTGGATAACGATGATAGATCGTTAAGGAATGCATTATTACTAGAAATGTGATTATCAGACCCCCTTCCTGAGTCTCGATGGGGGAGGGGGAAGGGATTGTTAGTAATGCGGATTACTATTCCCATTGCTAGCAATATATCCTACAAAGTCGATCTCCACGCGGTCCCCCCTGGTAACCATCGTGATGAATTCCATCACGATGGACTAACTGACCTGCTTTTTCATTCTCACCTATCGTCCCTCACTGGTGCCTCGCCAGCGTATACCAATAGCTCAGGCGGGGTTACCATTTCATTATCATCTATTTAAAAAAAAAACAGTCTCGATCCACTGGACTAGAGTTTTTTCAATGGGTGAAGATGGAATGGTAGAACCTGCCTGCGCTATCAGCATACCGAAGCGGTGTACCAGTGAGGGTCATCATGACCAATTTAGCAGCATTGTTCCGGTTTGCAACAACAATCCTTGTGAGCCCTGTCTCAGCAGCGGTACCTGAGCTGGCGGTCTGCGTCGAGCAGCAGCACGAGTGCCCGCGAGTAGTCCTGGCGGCGGGCGGCGGCGCGGCCGCGCTCGTGCAGCGCCAGCCCCACCAGCAGTGCACGCCGCTCACCCGCCGGCAGCTCTATAGCCTTGCCCGACTGGTCTTCCAGCTGTTTATTTATTTAAAACAAACAGACGGCTATAGCAATACGTATTTACACATTTAATAAATTAACAGCCGCTAAGGTTTGCACAAACGTATAATACAAGGGAAGGAAACACAAAATTAAACAATACTATTGAAAACTACAGCAACATTGTCAGATAACAGAGGTCAGATGTTAATAAAGCGGATGGCTTTATTAACATCTGGCAACACATTATTTGAGAATAACATCTAGATATAACTATTAAAAAACGTAAAATATTAAAATAATAAAAAAAATCAAAATTTAAGAAAATTAAAATTTCTGATTCTTTATTAGAGAAAAAATAAATAAATTAAAAAAAAAAAAGAAATCTCTGGCAACAACCTAAAAACATTGATTACACAGTGTTGCCATATACCATTTTATCTCAATTTCAAACTTCAGTTTCGAAAATAGTGTTCATACAGCACCTGAATGCTTTATGCTTTGTATAACTTAAAAAGGCAAATAAACTGAAGTCCACCTGATGGAAAATTATTTATATTTATGATGACACCAGAAGGAAAATGTACAAAAATCGTTTGCTTATGTTTCGGTTTGAACGTTGGGATATGGCAGTGAATTTACTGGGTACAGAGGAAGAACACCTGAGTCCTCAGGAATGGCAACGTATGGAGGGTATCATGGGCGAAACAGTATACTCTGTTATGTTCATGGTACTGCTCATGTCTATAGGCGACGGTTACCACTCTCTATCAGGTGGGCCGTCTGCTTGTTTGCCATTCTAATTTGTATAAAAAATATTAAATATGTCCTCTTTATAATGTTACTATAGGTAACGTAAAACACAAGAGTGCAACCCCATTAAACTGCCATTGCATACCTTCATGTAATCTTCATCAGCATATTTTGACAGCAGTGCGGCGTCTTCTCTGGTCGACTTCATCTCTAAATACATCTCGTCCTCCTTCTTCACTTCGTCTGGGGTCTCTAAAATGACAGTAAGAGAAAACTATGTACTAATATACATGTATGTTTAAATATATGTATTGTTAGCGGTATCCCCTACTTGAGACTCCCCACCGCTCGCCACAACCTTGTATAAATTGTTCTACTTAATTATAGGAATTATATTGTGTTTGTTTTTTTTTTTTAATTAAAAATAAGATTTATTGTTAAAAGTATGTTTATGTATTTATTTGTTTATATATATGTATGTTTGCATACATTAGTATACATATATATAATAGTTCGCCACCTACCCTTTGCCTTTTCTCAATATCCTCTACCCAACAATTGTCTGGAAGAGATTGCTTGCGATAAGGTCGCCTTTTGTATCACTTTTCGTTACTATTTACTGTATTTTTTTTACTTGGTGCAATAAAGTATAAAACAAATAAATAAATATGTATATAATTAATTTATACACACACACATACACACTCACACACACACTCTAGTAACTATTGTTATGATATACTATAGTGTAGTTTTTTATTTTTATTTCCTTTTAAATTTTATAATTACTCTAGCCACGACAAATTTATATCGCTAAGTCAGTAAAAACCTGTTATTGGCTTTTTATATGGATAAGTTGTTATTGTTTTAAGCTATAAATTGTAAGCTGTTGGTTTTCCAATAAACAAATAAATAAACATAATATACAGAAAAAATAGTAAAAACTTATGAATCTCCAAAATGATGTAATTTGTAGTTTAAGCCACTGCCAAAATAGCTAGTAATTGTTACAAATTACAACAGTACCTAGTGTTACTTTATGGTATATTAGCTTTTACCCGCGACTTTGACCATGTGATATATACACTGACTGGGATAAGAAGTAGCCTATATCTTTCTAGGCTTAGTAGCCTTTCTATATATAGTATGGGTATACTAAATTTCATTTTACTATCCATTGTTACCTATGTATCACAATTTAAATAAATAAATAAATAAATCATAGTGATTGGTTAAGCCGTTAAGGCACTATAAGGTAACAAACAAACTCACTTTCACATTTATAATATTAGTAAGGTCATAAATATTGCTTTGTGGTATAAATAAATTAGATAGATCATCAATACGTACTAGACATGATGAGAGCCATAATTTGCACTCCATTCTTGATGCCCTGCTCCTCCAGGCTCGAAGTTGGCTTTATTACTTTACCATTAAAGATCAACTTTAATCTGTAAACAAATACCATTTACATTTGCCAGAAGGAGACTTTGTAGAAAAGTCGATTGCTTGGATACCTCTGCCCCATTCGTGTTTCAACCGTGAAGCAGTTGTGTTTGCATGGCTGTGTTTCGGTTTGAAGGGTGGGATATGGCAGTGAATTTACAGGGTACAGAGAAATAACATCTGAGTCCTCAGGAATGGCAACGCATGGGGGGGGCCAAATGTTTATTCTATTATTTCTTATTCCAATTATTTATTTAAAGTTCTTTTTTTCTGTACCTTTCCTGCACATGATTACTGCATTAGGTTGGCTGGAAGAAATCTCTTTCAGAGTTAAACCCACCCTTACTAACAAGTTGTAAAACCAATCACTATATCTTTTGTTTGCAAGTGAAATATAAACATATATACATACATACATATCTGTCACGCCTGTCTCCCATTAGGGTAGGCAGAAACAACGCCAAATGCTTCGATTCAAACAAACCTCCTTCGCTTCTTCCACATTCATGAATCTTTTCATACACGCTCGCAGGTTACAGGTACTTTTAATTTGGCCCTTCTTCAGCATATATATAAATATAAACATATAAAAATAAATAACAAATTACCTAATCTGTGCCATTCCTATCTCTTCAGCCACAGCTGTAATCAAGTCACTTCCCATCACATACAATTTTTTTTGTACCTTCATAATCTTAGGCCTTTCACCGGGAATAGTAGCTTTAATTCTCAAGGTAGCAAACCCTGTCTCCTTGTACTCCTCGTTAGCTTTCGATCTATCAACGGAGTGTAGCTGCAGCTCATGCAGGCCTTGAAGGATAGTATCAAGATCTATTGATAGTGCCGTTGAGTATTTTTTGGCTAGTTCCTACAATGAATATTTAAAGATTTTGGTTAAACAAAATAAACACTTCAACTTCAATTATAACAAAATAAATATTTTTTTTTATTCCAATATCGATTTAGTATTGGGAGAAACATCAGGTGGTTAAGAGTTAAACCAGTTCTACAACACACTAGACAGAGACTTTGTTCAAAAGTTGATTGCTTGGGTACCTCTGTCCCATTCGTGTTTCAACCGTAAAGCAGTTGTGTTTGCATGGCTGTGTTTCGGTTTGAAGGGTGGGATATGGAGTGAATTTACTGGGTACAGAGGAATAACACCTGAGTCCTCAGGAATGGCAACGCATGGGGGGTATCATGGGCGAAACAGTGTATTCTGTTATGTCCATGGCACTGCTCATGTCTATAGGCGACGCTTACCACTTTCCATCAAGTGGGCCCTCAGCTTGTTTGCCATTCTAAGTTGTATTAAAAAAAAAAACACACTGGCTTACTGTATAGAATTGGATCGCCCATATGAAAATAAATAAATAATGAGAATAGATAAATAAATAGATAAACACTTTATTTGATCCATTTATTACACACATAAATTAAGAAATGAATTCATACAATCACCATTTATTAACTATAAAACAAAAGATAAAATATGAAAATATGTGTGTCACAGTGATCCAAATAGGCTACAGCTCAGTAATAGTTTTGTTTAAAAGCAAAGCACTGATTTTCAGCTGCAGCCTGATGTTAGGCTACATGGACGCATGCAACAAACCCAGAGTTTCCCTGTATGACTAAATTAATACATAAACATGGAATTGTATTATATAGATACATACATATATAAATAATGCATAAACAATATATTTGATGATAATGAACTAAACATACAATTCATCACATTAATTGAGTATAACTACGAAAGTACCAGCAAAGAGGGGATTATTAGTAATGGGTACCCTGGCCCATTGCTAACAATATATATATAGTGTCAAATGAACCTCTATATAGTTCCCCCCAGAAACCACCATGGTTCGTAATGAATGTGAAATGAAATGAAATTTATTCGTTCAAACATAACTGTAGTTTCATAAGTTACAGCACTAATATTAATATTATAATTTTAAATGGGTACAGTAGTTGTGGTTTTAGAACTGGGCTATTAAATAGGTCAATATAATACCTGTGTTAAGGGGCCACAGCCCCAACCCCCTTTAGTACTATAGAGATATTAATATTAAGTAACTACAATAAGGTTAAATACATAGTTTAACAATTAAAAATAAACAGAAATGTCATGATGGGTCAACTGATATGCCTTCATCTGGTCATCGAGTACCCTCGAGAGGTGTTCACTCTTACCTATCATCCCTAAATGATATCCTACACTTCAGCCACTATCCCTCCACTGCTGGACATAAGCTTCCCTTATAGATTACCATTTATTTATTATTTAATAAAAAATCTAGGAGTTCTACCTAGTTCTAGTTCTAAGAATAATAAATGAAAATACGCACACACATTTATTTTATTTTTTTATATATCTATACACAAAAGAAGATTATCGAATTGGAAATTTTCTTTTTTTTTTTAAATAGTTCAATAATTAACCTATTCGTAGTCATGAAAAAAAAACTATACAAGCAAAGGAAAATTCGGGATAAAGGAATTTTATTTGCGGTTTTTGTTAGTGACGATAAATGAAGTATTTATGAGATATAAATTGGCTATAAGAAACTAGCAGGAAGAAATAATAAATATTTATTATGTTTACCTGTAAACTTTGCGATATCCCATTGTCTGGTTGAATGTATGGTGGTTCCCACAGTTTTATTTTGTCTTCGTTTAGTTTAGCCCGTAATTTTATCAAAAGATCTTCGTGTTGCAGGTTAGTCTCCATTATTTTGGTCGACTCTGTAGGAACTCAAGCGACTGAGTCACCAAATGAGTTTGCGATTTGCAAAACAATTTTGGAAAGTCGAATCGGATGCAAACAAACAAAACAAAGATCAATTTTTAATGTCACGCATCGGGTTGCCAACTTTTGTTAACATTTATCTATAAAAGCACGTTAAAATACCCTTACAATCCTTCAAAATTAATTGTAAGTTATCAAATACTTGGAATATTATAACGCCTAAATTATAAAACGCAAACAAAACGTTATTTCGAGATGAGGTACATTGAGAATGTAAATGCCAGAGTAAATTTTAAGTTGTCGGTAAAATTGGTAATCAAATGTATTATTGTCTATGTAGGTCCTTCTCTTTTGATCATTTGTAATAAATCTTTCGAAGGTATTTTCTGTTACTAATCTTCTCCTATGTTGACCTCATATTAATTTTATCAGCATGGAGATAAGGTTTTTTTTTTCAAAAACATTTCATTTTAGCGCTTTATATTATTGAATAAACGTAATGACGTAATATAAAATTACTCTTATAAAATTCTTCTATAATATACCTCCGAAAGCGATACTATACAAAATCTTTTCCCCGTATTTAGGGAAAAATCACAAAGTTGGGAATACTCACATTGCATAGAATGTCAAAATCAAATGAAATTGAAAATTCGTAAATGACTCAAAGTCAATGACACGAACATAACAAAATAAATGTCAGCTGACAGCTGATTGATTAGCGTTCCATTTTATGTCCCTATGATCCCTACTAGACACTTTTTAGATGAAAATGGATTAGATTTTTTTTAATGGGATGAACCTACGCTTGGCTCATTGATACTATATTATCTGTAGCTTGGTTTATGTTAATGTAGATGCAGGTAAAGATGAAGTCAGATTAATTGGTTCGTCATGACAAATTCACCAGTATTAAGCACGATGATTCCGGACAAGGTCGGCCTTTTTTGCGCTTGAAGACAAGTTACTGAATATGAACAAAAATATCATTAACTATTACTGAGTGAAGCTTTGTGACGGTTTTCGAAAGTTACCCAGACTGATGACGAAAAAATAGTCAACGCTATTCACTATAAAGATAAACAAATTAGACTTCGGCACTTTTATGGGACCTGTTGCCTTCTTTTGATTTCAGCGTTACTATAAAGACGGTGCTAATTGACCTCCATGCGCCCCTCTCTGGGAATCATCGTGGTGAATTCTAGTTAACTGACCTGCCTTCTTCCTCATCATAATGTATACCGGTGGCGCTGGCGGGTTGCTATAGTAACAATAATTTTATTTAAACCATATTTAGGTTAAAATAGATCTTAATTAGCTAGCCATTCCAATTTCATTTCATTAAAAAAGCATCACCGTAAGGAATAGACGAAGATGAAAGTAGGTCAGTTGTCCCATCGTAACAAATTCATTGAAATTAATCACGGCTTCCAGGAATACTGTGTGGAGGTCGACCTGACTGCGTATATTGAAACGAGAACAGCGGTAAAAACGGGACAAACATCCTCATTGGTAACATTCTTACTCGACATGTATTTTAGTTAGATACCTGATACCTATCTTAGTATATTTCGGTAATATACTAAGGTATATAAAATTTTTAAATATGAAAATATAATATTTATAACATAATTTGATCGATTAATTAATATATCTTTTTAACATATTAATAATATACAATGATTTGATGTAGGCAGGCAAAAGAATGGCTGACAAAATGGCAGTTCAAATTAGACACTAAATAAACATAATCTTACATTTCTAAGATACAAGAACTAGCAATATATATTTGTACATGCATAATTAACAATATTGGGTTTTAATATGTATATATATAAAAAAAAAAAACAATAAACAGAATTAAAAAAAAAATTACAGTTTAACTAGAAAAGAGGACAGTTAAGAAAATATTCAAATTTGTGACGTTCATTCCATGGTGTGAGAGAAGGCGAACATTGTGAATATGTGTGTTTGAAATGAGAGGAACAGTAGTTTTTTTTTATGGGTAAACATGGTATGGTAACCCCGCCTGCGCTAACGTGATACGCTGGCGGAGCACCAGTGAAGGGTGATAGATGAGAATGAAAACAGGCCAGTTAGCCCATCATGATGAATTCATCAGGAATTAACCATGATAGTTTCCAGGGGGAACCGTGAGGATGTCGACCTGGTAGGGTATATCAATGGGATTCTCAGTCTCCATTACTAACAATCCCTTTCCCCCCCGAGGAATAGTAGTAAAGTGGTATTAATGTACATACAATATTTATAATCAGTGGGTATTAATTTTGTAATGCAATCATTATTTCTAATTCACAGGCTGTAAAAGTTTTACTTCAAACCCTTAAATAGTAGATAAGTACTTAATTTACATCGTAGTTTACACTTTATACATCGTTTTATAAAAAGTATTAGTAGTATTAGTAGTATTAGTATTAGTACTTAGAAATAATTTTAGTTACGAGAGATTTTACCTAAAATGATACCGTTAATTTGGATCGCTTGTAAGTTTTTTTTTATACTAGCTTTTACCCGCGATTTCATCTGCGTGATTAAAAGTTACTTTATCCTATATAATACCTGTATGCTAAATTATGTAGTAAATGTTTTTTTTAATAAAGGATAATTAAATTACAATTACAGTAACCCCGCCTGCGCTAACGGTATACGCTGGGGGAAAGGGATTGTTAGTAATGGAGACAAAAAATCCTATTGGTAACAATATACCCAGCCAGGTCGACCTCCTCGCGGTTCTCCCTGGAAACTATCATGGTTAATTCCTTATGAATTCATCATACATATCATGATGGGCTAACTGGCCAATATATATATATTATACTCTGTTATGTCCATAGTACTGCTCATGTCTATAGGCGACGATTACCACTTTCCATCAGGTGGGCCGTCTGCTTGTTTGCCATTCTAAGTTGTATAAAAAAAAAAATCATTAAAAAAATCACATATGTTTTTGTTTGAAAATAAATATTGATGTAATTAATAAACCCTATGACCTGTCAATTTAAAAAACAATTGAGAAAAAATCTATTGAGAGTTAATGAAGACATTGCGTAACATTCTTTTTTATCTAATCGCTTAAAAATATTCCATTAAAAGTTACTCTTTTCCATCATTAGGGGGCACGGGATTGCTAGCAATGGGAATTCGTCAGTCCCATTGCTTTCTTTAACTTAATTCGAATTTTACTCAAACATTATGAAAGGTTGAATAAACATTTCTCACTTGAGTTTCCGTTATCACTTTTGCAAGTGTACTATTCGGCAAATAATCGGTAAAATAATGTTTCTATTCTCGGAAAATTTGAATTTTTGCAGTAGCATTACAGTCTCCGGGGATAGCGATTTGAAACAGTTACTTTTAATGATATTATAATAAACTATTTGTGTGCTAAACTAAAATAATAAGGATTAAATTTATTTTTTTTTCTGAAAAAACTGTGCTGTGTGGACAATAGTTCTGAATCTCTGTCCACGGGGATCCCATCCAACATATATGTAATAAGTACTTTATATTATTCTTAATTTCGTGTATAATATAATATATTTTATATATATATATATGTAAGTACATATGTTATTTATATATATTTATTCGTTTATATATATAATTTTCGAGTATTCTGACACCTCCCTATGGTTGACTGGGAGAGAATGCTTTTAGCATTAGGTCCGCCATGTACACATATTTGTACTAATGAATAAATAAATATACATATAAAGAACCAACGATACATTATATGTATATACAATTTTGATTTAGTTATTTATTCCATTTAGGAAATTTAGTAACTCTCGTAAATTAAAATAAAGGAGAGGGGTGGGGGGGTACTAGTAGTTGCTACGCTTGGTAGGCGGGTTTTTTACGGTATGGTAACGTCGATTTTTAACCAACTTCACAAAGAAGGTCCTCAGTTCGGTTTTTTAATATCTGTTAACTCATAACTATGTCAGTTAAAAATTAATATGGAAAATTATTTATCTGAAAGGATATACTGTGTGTGTAATTTGCCATGTACCGGCATAGAATGGGTCAGCCCTTCCATTCCCGTGGCTGTCGTAAGAGGCGACTAAGTGAACTTAATGGTCGAGGAATCGGCAGCAGTTTCTCTGTTATGATATCACCAAAGCCTAACTGTGGTTGCCAACCCGCTTACCAAGGGGGAAAGAGATTGTTAGTAATGGAGACTGAGAATCCCATTGCTAGCATTATATCCAACCAGGTCGACCTCCTCAAGGTTCCACTTGGAAACTATCACGATTAATTCCTGATGAATTCATCATGATGGGCTAACTGGCCTGTTTTCATTCTCATCGATCACCCTTCACTGGTGCTCCGCCAGCGTATCCCGTTAGCGCAGGCGGGGTTACCATACCATTTTCACCTATCAAAAAAAAAACCCTTTACTCAAACCTTCACTGTTTAATTGTGATTAATCGCATTCAGTAGTTTTTGCATGATGGAAAAATACATGTTGTATCGGCATTTATCGGTCTTATTAAGATCCTTTATATCAATTTTTCATTAATATATCCTATGTAATAACTCAATAGGACAGATAAAGGAAACACTACCTGTCATGTCGTATAGGGAGGCCAAAGATATGACCTGGGATAGAGCTGGCAGGAAGGAAATGCATGAATTAGTTGCACCGACAAGAGGAAACTCTTAAATGAAATGAAAAAAAATCACTTACGTACAAGTATGGTCAAGTTAATAAAGATAAATATTTTAAAATATTTAAACCATTATATTATTATATAATTAATTCAAAAATTATTTCCGCCATTTACAAACGTGTAATCGTGTTCCTTCTCAGTATCGCTTCTTAAAACGTTCTGCGAATTCGTAAATTGGAATTACAACTATTACTGTCAAGTAAATTATAACTTTACACATACGCGGATGATTAGAAATGAAAATTAAGTGTCATTAATTTAATTTATTACCTTATAATCTTTATAAAAATAGAGTCTCAAGCCTCAAATATTGGTCGACTTTTTGTCAGCTAATTGTCAAACTCGCTGACTCGTTTTTTATCAGTGTTCTACATATATATTTATTATGTATATACTTACGCACACAATGTATCATGATGTAT